TTGATCTTGGGGTCCTGAGTTTGAGCTCCACGTTGGGCTTAGAAATCACTTTTAAAAAATTATTCTATTTCTAGTTTCTTGAGGATGAGTTCTCCACATTTTTCCATCTGCTGACTGCTGCCTATCAGTCTGTTCTTTTCTGCTTTGTAATCTTTTACAGTGAGCTCACCTGGGCTGGGGTGAGGAAGGCATGTTTTCTATGGGAGTCTTATGTGATCCCTAGACTATGGAAATGTCCTGAAAGCACAGTTTTCCATTGAACATCTTTTCCCTTTTTTAAGAACATTTTTTTTTTTTTTAAGATTTTATTTATTTGATGGAGAAGAGAGAGCGTGAGCACCAGGGGAGTGGCAGGCAGAAAGAGAAGCAGGCTCCTCGAAGAGCAGGGAGCCAAATGTAGGGCTTGATCCCTGGGGTCATGACCTGAGCTGAAGGCTGATGTTAATGACTCAGCTACCCAGGTGCCCCTAAACTAATTCATTTAGAAATATCATCTTTGCTACATATTAAAGTGTCATGTATACTTTGGTCTAGTTCTCTTTCTGTTTAATTGTTCTGTAGCAGACTATTTTAAATATTATAATCTTAAAATACTTTGATATGTAGTAGGGCAAATTACTCCCTTTCTATCTTTGCTTATCAGAGATTTTATGGGGACTTCTCCCTCTAAAACCATATTCTTTCAGTTGCAGTTTTATGATTATTTATTTAAATCTTATGTGCCTCTTCCTTCCCCAACAAAACCTTAGTAAGATTGTAGATTAATTTGTAGATTATTAATAGTTTTTAAAAGGTTTGTGTTTACAAATTTTAGTTAAACTTACTCTTGTTTTTTGTTGTTACAGTCAAGATTTCTTTTTCACTTAAATGTTTCTAAATAACAGTTAAGTTTTTTTAAGAAGGTGACATTTTAGAAAAAGACCTGAAATGAGAGTAACTGTGGGAAGGCCCATGGTCTGGAATTTTGCCTGCCATATTGAGGAAATAGCAGTGGTAGAGTGAGCAAGGAGAGAAGCAGGGAGTAAAAGGAAATGAGGTCAGAGAAGGGATAGAGGTGACAGGTGCTATAAAGCTTTGTGCGCACCATTTGCAAGAACTTTGGCTCTTGTTCCTTATGAGAGGAGGAGCCACTGAGGACTGGTAAGCCAAGGTCACACCTACTACGTATTTATTTGATTAGTTGGAAGGAGGAGCAAACAGGAAGACAAGTTAGGAGTCGTTTAAAAAATTCATATGAGGGGGCGCCTGGGTGGGTCAGTCATTAAGTGTCTGCCTTGGGCTCAGGTCGTGATTCCAGGGTCCTGGGAATCAGCCCTGCATCAGGCTCCCTGCTCAGTGGGAAGCCTGCTTCTCCCTCTCCCACTCCCCCTGCTTCTGTTCCCTCTCTCACTGTGTCTGTCTCTGTCAAGAAAATAAATAAAATATTTAAAAAAAAATTCATATGAGAGGGGTGCCTGCATGGCTCAGTCAGTTAAGCCCCTGACTCCTGACTTCAGCTCGGTCGTGAGATCAAGCCGCACATCAGACTCTGCTGGGTGTGGAGCCTGCTTAAGATTCTCCCTCACCCCCTATCCTCCGCCACCCCTCTCTTAAAAAAAATAAGAGAAAAGATACTGACTCAGACCAGAGTGACTGTAGTTGGGGTGGTTATAAAGTGGTCAGATTCTGGATACATTAAGAAGGTAGAGACCACAGAATTTCATGATTGGATATGGGGTATGGTAAGAGAAGGGAGTTTAGTATGAGTTCAGAGATTTAAAACTGAGCAGCTAGAAAATGGGAAGAGCTCAGTTTTGAACCGAGGTGCCTTCCGTTAAGACATCTAAGTGAAGTTGAGTGAGCAGTTAATCTACAAATGAAATCTGCACTTGCTCAGGTTTGGTGGTTTATATCTGTTGTGATTTTTAAAATTTCTTAATATAAAATATATATTGTGATAAAAAAAAAAAAGAAAGGTTCTGGGGCGCCTGGGTGGCTTAGTCAGTTAAGGATCTGCTTTCAGTTCAGGCATGATCCCGGGGTCCTGGGATAAAGCCCTGTGTTAGGCTCCCTTCTCAGCGGGGAGTCTGCTTCTCTCTCTGCCCCTCCCCCAACTTGTTCTCTCTCTTTCAAGTAAAGAAAGAAAATTTTTTAAAGAGAATCTTATTTTTCTGAAAGGACAGTAGAATTCTCATTTCTTTATGTTAGCATCAGCCATCTTAATTGAATAGAAAATGATCTGTTCTTAAATGCTTTTATTTATTTATTTATTTATTTATTTATTTATTTATTTTTAAAGATTTTATTTGTCAGAGAGCACAAACAGAGGAAGTGTCAGGCAAAGGGAAAAGCAGGCTTCCTGCTGAGCAAAGAGCCTGATGTGGGACTTGATTTCAGGACTCTGGGCTCATGACTTGAGCTGGAGGGCAGATACTTAACTGGCTGAGCCATCCAGGTGTCCCTCCTTAATGTTTTTAAAGTTTTGACCAGGGAAATAGACTGAGCCTCTCCTTTTTTTTAGGCATATATATGCTATTCCCTTATTAGATGGAATACAAAAATATGTTAACATTTAAACATCACAGATATGCATAATTTGTACACACATATATTACGTATGTATACACAGTTTCCAGCTTTTAACTTAACTAGTGCTTTTTTGAGGAGTTCTTTATCTTAATCCCTTCCTTTAGTTTTTATTTTGTTATTTTTGCCATATTCTTTTCCCCCTACACCCAGTCTGTTGGCTGTTGACTTAAGGGTATGCTAGAGCCACAAAATGGAATGTTCATTTTTCAGCTAATTGATGCCAGGGGTTAGTTTATGAGGAAAACATATCTCCATTTTAAGATTATTTTGATAACTTTTTCTAATTTATTTTTAATGTTTTAAGTTTTGGTGCAATTTCTAGATCTACCTAATTACCTAAATCCTCCCATTCATCTACTGTATGGTCTGTGGTTTTCATCTCCTGACGGCATATTCTCTTTCAGTTCTATCTGAAAATGTTAACTTTTTCAGAAAGCTAGTGCTGATTAAATAGAGAGCAAGGGATATTTTTTCCCAAAACAGTACTGGCTAATGTCTACACAGTAGTGTCATGTTTAGTTGGTATAATTCCCTTTCAGTGACATCTACAATTGCAGCTTATTAGAATTCTAGTGCGAGTTGCTCAGTCTGACCTTCACAGGACCTGCTTTGCATGCCACCCATCTGTGTGGTCGCATGAAGGAGGCAGTTGGGGAATGTCGATAAAGACCATGTTGTTCTCATATTTATCTTTCTCCTGTACATGTCTGTAAAGGCAAATAGTTTTCAAGAGAGGTTTGTGCTGACACTGAATGCAGCTCTTGCAGTCATCGTAGGCTTTTTGCTAGCAGTTTCCAGGCTACCCTTTTGTTGTTGTTACGATACTACCCTTGCTCAGAGCATCCCTTCTCATGGTACTGTTCCACAGGCAAGTCGTTTTCTTCTAGGACTGTATGCTGCCCAGATGACTTTATGGGTCATGATTTGGCACATGGCAGATTTGTCCATCCTAACACTAGAGCCTAGGAATCCTACATTCAGCATGACCTGAAGTTTTCGCCTCAAAGCATTAAAATTGTTCACAAAACAAAAAACCTTTTTTTAAGCTTTGCCCCCCCCCCCCATTAAGAAGTCTTTTAAAGAGTTAGATTCCATAGCAGGAGAGGTTCATTCTTAACCTGCCTGCATGTATACTAAGAAAGTTTAATGGGAATAATTGAATTTAATCTAACATAAAGACTTTGGTGTGAACACTCACCATACCAAATTTCTTTTCTTTTCTTTTCTTTTTTAAGATTTTATTTATTTGTTTGACAGAGATCACAAGTAGGCAGAGAGGCAGGCAGAGAGAGAGAGGAGGAAGCAGGCTCCCTGCCAAGCAGAGGGCCCGATGCGGGGCTCGATCCCAGGACCCTGAGATCATGGCCTGAGCCAAAGGCAGAGGCTTACCCCACTGAGCCACCCAGGTGCCCCTCTTTTCTTTTTTTTAAAGTTTTTATTTATTTATTAGAGAGCATGAGCAGGGGAGAGGGTCACAAGTGGGGAGAGGGGCAGACTTCCCACGGAGCAGGGATCCTGACGAGGGACTCCATCCTAGGACCCTGAGATCACGGCCTGAGCCTAAGGCAGACACACTTACCCCACTGGGCCACCCAGGCATCTCCAAATTTATTTTCATTGCTTAGGCATGATCTTTATAACTATGGATCTTGGGCTCGTCAAAATGTAGCTAGTGAGTTCTGTGCAGTCCAGGGAAAGTCGCCACTTTGTTTGAGACCATCTGAAAGTCTTCAGAAGGGGTCGTGAGAAGAAGGGAGAGCTGTGGCTGCTTATTTAGGCTCTTCAGTGGATGACGCTGCTGCAGAGAGCGAGTCCTGTCCTGTGGGAATCAGGCGCCAGTTCATCTCCGGGACCGTTGAAACCCATCAAGATGGTGGAAACATTCAGGTTTTGTAAGGTTCTCAGCACAGTTTCAGTAGCTTTAAACTCCCAAGTTTGGTACCTAGGTAAGTGCTTAGGTCTCTGGCGGCAAGTGACTGAATTTTGTCATTGAAGAAGAAGCAAGTTTACTTAATTGCTTTGAAGGTTATTATGTGGGAGAAAAGGGACTCTCTTTTTTTAAGTTGGGTTGTTTTGGTTTTTGGGTTTTGTTTTGTTTTTGTTTTTTGTTTTTTTTTGTTTTTTTTTGAGAGAGAGACCGACATTGAGTGGGAGGGAGTGGGAGAGGGAGAAGCAGACTCCCTGCTGAGCAGGGAGCCTGACTCGGGGCTCGATCCCAGGACCCTGAGATCATGACGTGAACTGAAGGCAGACACTCAACCATGTGAGCCACCCAGGCGCCCCAAAAGGGACTCTTTTTAACAAAATAATTGAACTTTCGGTTAGTAGTGGTATATAGTGATCTAGAAAGAGTCTTTTGAATCTTTGGGATAATGAGAGAGAGCTGGGTTTTATCAGACACTGAATTGTCCGTTTTGTTTGGCTTTTCACAGGTTCACCGGAACAGCACAATGCGCTCTGGCTGTGATGTGAACCCCTCCTGCGCACTGTGTGGCTCGGGCAGCACCGTCACCGTGCCTCCAGAAATTCACTATGAAGCCCCTCTGTTGGAACGCCTTTCCCAGTTGGACTCTTGTGTTCACCCAGTCCTAGCATTTCCAGATGGTAAGAAAGGCCACAGAATATAAAGTTTAAATGAGACTTAAAGGCTTCAAAGTGAAAGAAAGTCAGCCAGGATCCTGGTACAATCCAGGGTGCTATCAGGGTATCAATTTCAGTTAACATCGTCTCTTAGAATTTCGCAAATAGGGTGCAGCAGATCTGCCAGACCAGAATGTGCCACTAAAAGATTGCAACTTGCCCGGAGAGAGATTTCCCCCCAGCCTTTCAAGTGGCTCCTGACCCTGAAATAAAACCCTGCCTAGCTTTGCTAGCCATATGGCCCAAGTTTTCTACTAATATTTCCACTTTTATTAGAAGTCACCTGACAGCAGGAATAATTCGATCAAGCTCTTTCTTAATCAAGGGAGTTCCGATAACAAGTCCTGGAGCAGCTATAGGATTTAGGTAGGAAAAAAAAGAATTCAGTAATTTGAAAAACAGATAAAGGAGAGGGGATTATCGTAATGCAGTGTTTGATCAACTGTCAAACAGAAGAGTGCGTCCTCTAGGGTAGGTGTCCGTAATTACTGTTTTTTATAAAGTTTCATTGGAACACAGCCAGCCCATTTGTGTATACATTGTCATTGGCTGCTTTTCTGCTAGAGTGGCAGTAATATTACATAGTTGCCACCAGACTGAACATAGTTTGGCCTGCGGTGCCCAAATTATTTATCATCTGTCCCTTTTAAGAAAAAGTTTATAAACTTTTGGACCATATGGATAGCAAGCTAGGCAGGGTTTTTATTTTAGGTTGGGAGTGGTGGAGCAGTAAATAAACTTTAGAACGTAATGAGTGGGAAACCCTAACACATCTTCTGTGCTCTTCAGATTCCAAGGTTCATTGGCTTTTACCTTCTCTTACCATTTGGATTATAGCTCATATAACTTAAGATTTTATTTGTATAACATTTTATGGTTTACAAAGCACCTTTCTTCTACTTGTTTTATTTGTTTCTGTCAGGAATCTTGGAAGGTGTTAACTTCAGTTTGTGGTAGATCAAGAAAAGGCTTAGAAAAGTTGTGCTTTATCTTAGGCTGAATGGTAATGAGTTTTAAATGGTTCTAGAATTCAAACCCACGTCATCTGATGCCTGTCCTTCATTTCACTATATAATATGCTTCCTCCCTGCCAGGTTATTCAGGGAAGTCAGTTTTCTACCCATTTCTAGACTCTGACTGCAAGTGGAGCCACCTGGAAAACTGAGGACCATTTCTTGGGTTGCTCTCTCAGGATCACACTTGCATTTCTCAGGATCTCGTATTTGAATAAAGAAGCCTGAAGCCTGTAGTTACATTCTGATTCTGATAAGGCCTCTTCCATACTTACTGAATATCAGCTCATAAACATGGTGATCATTTCTTTGTCAACAGCATTACCATATACAGTTGTGAATTGTCTTCCCCATCCCCCAGTCACATATGCTCAAACTCTCTGTCTCAGACTGGTGCCTTTACACTTCCTTACTCCATCCAGTTTCAAGCTATTGTAGGTAGCATTGAGGGAGAAAGGAAGGAAAGATGTGGAGACTCTTCTCTCTGGTCTTTAGCATCTTCACTTTCCTGCCTGCCTTGAAATACTTTTCCTCTCTCATTATCTCCCAGTCTCACACAGCTCCTAACCATGATACTGGGGTTTCGACAGGAGAGTTGGTCATTAAATTTCCTTATGAGACTGTAAAGGAAAAAATATATATTTTATTATTTCAAGTAGGATGTATGAACATATTTGCCTTAGACTTTCTGTGGTTTGACTTGGGTGAGACAGTTACCATAGTTAATATTGTTCCTTTTGGATAATTTTGTTTTGATCCAAACAAATTACCACATTCAGAATGTTTGGTAAGTTGTAAGGTTTTCACAAAGCTGTCAACTCCAAAGGGCACCATTCTTCTGTGTGAATAGCATTTCCTGAGTATTGAGATTCCCCGTGGATCCCTGTGTAGAATAGTAAGTAACAGTGAAGACTAGCGGCCAGCGTAATACGTTGTGGGTCAGACATTACATACCCCACGCCTGACCTTTGGGTCACCCTTTTACAGCCAGTTCTCTTGATACTTAGAGATGGCAGGATTTTCAGGTAGTTCTACTAATGTTTCCTAACCTTGTTTGTAGGTGAGATGGGAACCAACTGCAGCTCTTAATCCTAGAGTTCTTTCTCCCTTGTTGACCACACCTCAGCCATTTAGATTAAGTGTGGCTAGAGATGGTAGAATTGGAGGAGCTGGGTGCCTGGCCGCAAGGTGAAGGAATTGGAGTGTGATAACTCTTCAGTACTCCTAGGAGGAGGAGCTTGTTTCCTTAACAAGCCAGTTAATCCTTAGCATGGAAATGTAGAGGATGTCTAAAACCTTGGTAGACTGTTAACTTGAGTTTGAGCTTCATAAGAGCACCACCTGCTGGCCTTGAGGATCTGTGCTATTTCGAGAGCGCTTACCCAGACTGGTGTATGTGAGGCTACCGCGGTTTACCGGCAGGAGGAGGAAGTGAGTATTATGAAACAAACCTAGAAAATTCGCTTGAGAAAATGGTGGAAAGTAATGAGCAAAACAGTCAAGTGAATCGTGAAATGTCAGACCCCCCCCCCCCTCCCAGTGAGCATGAAGTCAGTCTTTTCATTTTGTCTGAGGAAATAGTAACTTTAAAATGATGTTAGTTTCCTTCTGTTTCCTATTTCCTGTTTTAACACTTATGTTTTCCTGTTACTGACCTGATCAAGCATCTGCACCCTCTTCTCTCTCTGATGATGGCACTTGAACAGCATGGCCTGTGCGGGGATGGAATGTGTGAAGTCTTCTGGCTGAATGGGTCCCTATTGTGTTCTCTTCTGTTTCATACCCTTTCATTGCTTACCTTCAGGTCCTGCATATCTAATCCATTTCAGAGCTTTATCGCTACATGGATCTCAGGTGTTATTACTTACTTAGAGCATGAACTCAGACTAGCAATTCCTAAGAGATCATTTTTGTTCATTGACTGGAGGATTTAATGGACTTCCTGTTCATTCTTAGAGGAGTTAAACACACAGCAAGTTTCTAGCAAAGTAAAACAGCCTAAGTGCTTTGACCAGTTTGTTATTATCCCTAACTGCCTGTTCAGTGGGTTTATAGGGGAAATTGCTCTTGATTCTGCTTAATACCTCAACTCTAGGGCACACAGTGGTATTCTTCAATTATAACAGCTTCTACTTCAGAGCATTAGATGAGGGTGGGGGATTAGGTATGGGTCTGGAGTCTGATGTAATGTGTTGAGAGTGGAGAGAGTCAGGGACGCCTGGGTGGCCCAGTTGGTTAGGCAACTGCCTTCATCTCGGGTCATGATCCCAGGATTGTATTAGGCTCCCTGCTCCGCCGGGCCAGGGAGGTGGTGGCAGTGTGGGGGGCCTGCTTCTCCCTCTCCTGCTTCCACTGCCAGCGCTCTCCTCTCTCGTTCTGTCGAATAAAACCTTTAAAAAAAGGAGAAGAAGAAGTGGAGAGACTCCGTCAGTCTAGGCTAACAGTAACAAATACTGTCCTCTCTTGTGCTTACTCTGATTGATTGGTGGTGGCTTTCTGGACCTAACTCTGTAATTTTTTAAAGATGAATCTAAGGTCTCGGGGTACAGTAGGGGAAAGAGTGTTTTGATTTTTTTGTTTTTGTCTGCAACAGAGGAAAGGAGAGCTCTAGAGCATGTGTGCTGGGATGTTACCTTCCCAGATCTAGGCCTGCCACCTCATTTTACCGATAAAGCTAAAAAGCCCAGCTAAGTGGTTTGTTCTTGTTTTTGCCTTCTACTCAGTGGTGGAATTAGGACCTGAATCCAGGCCTTCTCATTTCTAGTCAAGGTACTGTTTCCATTATAAATCAGGTCTCTTAAATTCCTCCCTACCTCCTTTTTTCCTGGCTTAATTTTCAGGTTTGGTAGAGCAGTGACTGGATAAAGTAAAAGGAAAATGTGAAATCACTAGGCTTCTGTTGTCCCATTATATAGACTTGGCCAATTCTTCTGTTGACAAGGGGTGTCCTGGGATATGGAGGAAGTGTTTTCCCCTTTGTGGGGCCTCTAGACATTCCAGCTTAGCCCAGTTTTCAGAGTGCCTCCAGACAATGCTTTATTTCCTACACACCCTTTTCCCTAACCATTTTGAATTACAGCAAAAAATATTTACCGTTAATAACCTCAAGTCAATTCTTGATTGTTTATTAATGGGAAATCCTTTTTTTAAAAAAACATTAGACCTTCTTTAGGAGGGTGGGGGGAATCAAACCATTTTATTGAGGGACTCGGGGAGGAGTGGAAGGGCTGGGAACATAACGAGATCCAACAGCCTCGGTCTGGCTGGTATCTCCCCAACTTTGAGGTTGCTGAAAGCTGATGTTTAGGTGAATTTGTTTTTAAGTGTGGAAAAGAAGGAATGAGTATGCAAAAAAAAAAAATTTTTTTTTTTTTTTTTTCAGAAGACAGCACTGTCCTTACATACTGTATCTCACTACTTAGACATACAGCAAATATTTATTACCTTTAAAACTTCAGTAGTTTTCCTAATTTGTTGGACTGCCATAGTAAATGGCGTAACAGTGGTCTTTTCACAGAACTGGAAAATAATGTCTGGCGCTGAGGCTGCTTTCCCACTGAGGAAAGGCATCCCTGAGAACAGAATTATTTTATTCACTCAGGGATATATGTTCATTCCAGTCCTGAGAAGCCCAGTGTTCAAATTTGTTCTTAAAGTGTCATGAGGTCCATGGTATATACTATAGAAAAGAGTGTTTAAATGTTTTTACACTATAGAACTGCCTTGAAAAATACCCTATACATTCCACTTCTTGCCAGTAATTTGGGAAATCTTACATTCCACCTCTCCATTCTCTGGACCAAATAATCTCATGGTGTAGTAGCTTAGAGTGTGGGCTCGAGGGTTCTACATACCTAAGTTTGAGTGTTGGTTGACTTACTAAACTCTGTATCCTTAAACAGTTAATTCACCTCTATGAAACTGTTTGGTCTTTTTTAAAAAAAGACCATAATGATGCTTACATCAAAATGAAATACAGATTTAAAATTAATTATCAAGTGTAAGACCTGTAAAAAGAAAACTGCCAAACAATGCTGAGAGAAAATTAAAGAAAACCTAAATAAATAGATGTACCACATTCATGGATTGAGAGACTTGGTGTTGATGGCAGAAAAGAAAGCAGTTCTCCCCAGATTGACCTTAGAGTCCGTGTAATACACAACGAGCTTTTTTGTGTTTGAGTTTTTGCAGAAGCCTGAAGAAGAAACAAACCACCTAGGATTAAGGAAGAATCCGCTTCCATTTTATCTGCAGCACTGAATGTTAGAATAAAGTAGAGTAGTAGTGACAGTTTTTGAGGTCTGAGAGAAAAATGGTTTCAGTCTAGAAATACTTTTTTCTAAAGAAATTACTTAATGGCACGTTCTTAGGTAAATAAAAAACAGAACTAAGAAAGTGAAAAGGTACAATAATGGTAAACCAAAGTGGTAAAAATTATAGTTTAAAAGATTAATTTTTGATGGTTGAATATTAACTAATCGGCAAAAAAGAACCGATTAGAGGCCCGTGGGGGCCTCTAGGGCCTGGGTGATAGGGAGGTGAGGAGCTAGGAAGGAAGGCGGGGTAGTACTCAGTAGATGGTAAGTATTTGTTGAATGACTGTATCCTGATTAACTGTGTTGATAGTATTGGGTTTAAATGTTTTAGTCTCTAGGAGAATTGAAGCAGGGTGTTTATCAATCTTTTGAACCAGTAAAGTTTAACAGACTTGGTAGAATTCCTGAACAAAGAAAACTCCATTGATGTATCAGAAGGTGTTTTTAGATGGGGTGTGTGTGTGTTTAATTTGAAAATGAAAGGCAAAGGTGACTTGCTTGTGAATAAAAGAATGACCTTCAGTAAGGTTCAGGTAACCAGCTGCTCCACAGGACAGTGCTTGCCCTGCCAGGCCGTCCTGCCCACTGGGCACAGAAGAAAGGGTGTGATGTGGATTCTCACCGGGTGGAGAGCGTAGACGCATCTCCCTTCTTGAGAGAGGAGTCCAGAGGCCAGGTGTCTGGACTAACCCGCAGTGTCTGGTGTTTCCCACAGATGTTCCCACGAGCCTGCACTTCCAGAGCATGCTGAAATCTCAGTGGCAGAACAAGCCTTTTGACAAAATCAAACCTCCCAAAAAGTTTTCACTAAAGCACAGAGCACCCATGCCGGGCAGCCTGCCAGATCCAGCTCGTAAAGACAGGCACAAGTTGGTCACCTCCTTCCTCACAACAGCCAGTAAGTTCCGGGGGACCCGGGTTTCGTCCTCCGGTTATTCTCTTTTCCTTTTGTATTCTCAAGTTGCTGTTTTGCTGTGGCAGTATCTCGGGGTTGAGAGAAACAATGGGCTGATAGAAATTCAGCTCACAGTCTGCTTCTGCTGGTCTCGGGTGTTCTTACATGGACTTCGAAGGCTCTTCCAGACACCAGGCGTCTCGGGGCAGGGCCCAGAGTGCGGGCTGAACAGCTGGCAGTGACGGGGCACGGGCTCCAGCTGTGGGCAGGCTGTCTCCTGTAGCCTGGTTGCCGATCTCTCTGCTTGAGGGCCCGGTGGGCTGCCCGGCCTGCCCTGGCCCTCATGCTGTCTGCGAGGAGTGGCAGTCCCAGAGGACTCTCCTGCTGCCCTGGGTGTCTGTCACTGGCCTAGAGCGATCTCAAGAGCTTGGAACTCAAATAAAAGATGGAGAGAAGATTTCACAGCTCCTTTTCTGTTCCCCTCTTCAGAGCTGTCCCATCACCAAACTCGGCCTGACAGGACCCACAGGCAGCACTTAGACGATGTGGGGGCCGTGCCTATGGTGGAACGAGTGACAGCGCCAAAAGCAGAGCGCTTGCTCAACCCACCGCCACCTGTGCACGACCCAAACCCCAGCAAAATGAGATTGCGAGACCATTCATCTGAGAGAAGTGAAGGTAGGGCCAGGCCCGGCACCTCTGCCTGCATCTGCATCTGCTCAGGGCTTTCTGGGGCAGCCTGGGCTTCTCTCAATCGCCCCCAGCTTTGTCCTTCACTTTCTAGGAAGGCAGAGTAGAGGGACCCCTACTGCTTCTAAATGCAGGTTACTTCTAACTGCTACAGCGACCTCTGCCCAGCCCCCTATCTCCCGCAACCAGTTTGCTTCACCTTTTTATCCTCTAGGCTTAGAAAGCGTTTTTGCTTTTACCGTGTTTTTACCGTGCTTTTACCGTTGCTGGCATTTGTGGCTTGTGCTGGAAGGAGAGCCGGTTGAGGTGGCCACGTATTCCTCTTTTCTGTTGACTTCTGCAGTGTTGAAGCATCACACGGACATGAACAGTTCGAGCTACCTGGCGGCCGCCCAGCATCCCCCACACAGCCCCCTGGTGCGACAGCTCTCCACCTCCTCAGACACGTCGGCACCCACCAGCTCTAGCCCACAGGTCACGGCCAGCGCGTCTGTAAGTACCTGTGCGGAGCTGGCTGGAAGCCCTTCTGCAGTCCCAGCTCCTCAGGGGGCTCTGGAGGACAGTGTGGGGAGTGGGCTGTGAGGCCCAGGGCATTTGGGGGTGCTCAGCTCACCACGATGTGTCATTTTTTAGTCCAAGGGATGGTATTTGACCTTGTGTTCTCCATGGTGGAAAGTTGGATGCTGAGACACACCCTGAAAGTGGTCTGTGGGGTTAGGCCTCACCTAGCACTCAGCAGTAGCATGGTTTTGATCCCGTTGGTTCCAGAAGCTCCCCCGCAAGGAGCGGTAGCGGACGGGTACTTAAGAACACTAGAGGCGGGGCGCCTGGGTGGCTCAGTCGGTTAAGCGGCTGCCTTCAGCTCAGGTCATGATCCCAGCGTCCTGGGATCGAGTCCCACATCGGGCTTCTTGTTCTGCAGGGAGCCTGCTTCTCCCTCTGCCTCTGCCTGCCTGTACTCTCTCTATCTCTCTGAGAAGTAAATAAATAAAATCTTTAAAAAAAAAAAAAAAAAAATTTAAAAAAAAAAAAAAAAAAAAAAAGAACACTAGAGGCGTTCCATTTCCTTAGTTTCACTCTCCTGGTGAGTGGAGGGGGGGAAGGCAGGGCCTCACGCCATCCCTGAAAGCTGTCAGCATAGCCATTCCAGACACACATTCCCGCTGGTTTCTTTCTCATATTTAATTCCTCAGTGTTTGCCTCGTTGAAACATATACCTAGAGCTTCTTGGTGCCCACTGACTGGTCCTTTCTGTGGTATTTATGATAATAATGGTGATAGTGCTAATAAAATGGGGTTGGTTGTGTCCGTTCTGCATGCTTTTCTGTGTTAACTCATTCAATCCCAATACTGCCCTTTGAGATGTGATATTAAGGATTCTTACTCTGTCGGCAGGGAAACTGAGGCTTTGTAAGGTTAAGTAAACTGTGCAGAGGGAGGCAGCTTGTGAGGGTCATGACTGCCACTCAGCCCCAAGCCGTGTGACCACAGAGCCAGCGCTTTACCATGACATGCATGTGTGAGCTCGGTGTCACTGAGGTCACTTGTGGGCGTGTGCATGCGCTACGAGCCCCCTTCAGAGCGCGCTTCAGGAGACGTATAAGCTCACAAATGGGCTCACTTTGTTCTCTGTCTTTGCTCTTTAAAATCAGACACTCTTTTCCAAATGACCTCTTTATTCCTCCCTTTTACCTCTGTCACCCACAAATTTTTGTCTAAATAGGTGTGTAGTGTCTATCACAAACTCCCATTTCCCATCAGAGGGTCTCAGACAACCAGAGGATTCCAGTCTGAACTCTGAGATCTGACAGTCGGAGAGACTCCAGTGCTCTTTCCCTTCCTAGCCCTCCTTGTCTGGAGGATGTTCCCTTAGGCCTGAATTGTTTGAAATTTTTTCTTATTTATTATTGAGTACAGGTTTTGTATCTGCACTGACCCTTATGGCTCTCACTGCCTGATGTTTTCTAAAAGTGTGGATTTATTTAATAGTAACAAGAAGGATAGACCAGATACTGAAAATGAGGGGGAGAAACTGGGGTGGGGGGGGATGTGTGGGGTAGCGCTGCCTGAAAGCTGTTGGGCATCTCAGAAACCTCCTGTGGCTTTAAAAAAAGAAAGAAATCCCTGAGGATTCTGATTTGATAGAGAAGGCATCCCAGAACCTTTGCTTGCTTCTGTGCTTTCTTCCTTTCCTCCCCTTTCCTTCTTGGCAAGGCACTCTTCATCTTGCTTCTGAGAAACCACTTTCCATTCCCATCACCTGTTTTGCCCCTCTGGCTCTAAATAGGAGAGAGTAGTTGAATTAGACCAAATGAGTGCCTAGTGGGAGGCAGGGCTCAAGCCTGCTGACCCATTTATTTTTTTATTTTTTTATTTTTTTTCATAGTAGAAAGCTTGATGTTGAGACAAACCTCCACGGGTGTTGTCCTCCGCCCACTCCCATCTCTTGCCCTTGAAGGTACTAACAGCAGCTCCAGAAGATTTGGGGAAAAACACACCTGTTTCTTCCAGCTCCACATTCATTCTTGACCAGGCTGCAGGGAGAGCGCTCTCTTGAGCTCCCCTGAGGTACACTTCCGGTCGTGGGATGTGTCCTTTCAGCAGAGGTGGGCCATGGTAGAGGCTTCAGGGTGTGAGGTCACTGAGCCTTAGCTAGATTTGCAGAATTCTCTTCGACCATTTTGGTTAACCAGTTTTACCTTAAATTTGTGAGGTAGAGGCCATCTGTCCTCATTTGAAAGAGAAGGAAATGGAGGTGAAAAAGACGTGGTGGGCTGACATGAGAGGCGACAGCAGCTAGAGGCCTGGCCCAGGAAGCACTGCCTGTTGGCATTCTCAGAATGCCTGAAGGGATGGGTTGAATCAATCCTGTATCACCCTTCAGGAACAGAGAGTGGGGGTGGTTAGTTGTAGGGAACAGTGTCTTCCTCATCGTGCTTCATGAGCTGACTGCACTTGGGGCTTGGCTTTGAAATGCAGCCCCTTGGGTGTCTCCAGCTGTGCTGTTGCCATGGCAGCACGTGTGTCATCCCACTGTTGCCCTCTGGCCCCTCTCACTCAGCCACCAGTGTCTGTTTCAGGGTGGGCTGTTCGCTGTCTGGGCCCAAGCAGCTGGTGGACTTTGCCCGCGTCCGAGAAACCAACCAAGGCCTTCAGCTCCCTCCTGTATTCCTTCTTTGGCCTCCGAGCCTGCTGTGGATGCTCGCCGCCTCCTCTGATACTGGGCCCTTGTTAGTCTTCTTCCCTAAGAATTTGAACTTCTCAACCTGCAGAAGCAAATCTCTCTTCTCCAGGAGTGAGCTGTGTGGCCAGGTCCAGGTCCTCTTCCTCTGTTTCCCTCCACTCAGCTCCACTGATAGAGCTAGAAAGCTCTCCACTCTTCCCCAGTAGTCAAAAAGACGGGATATCCCATAGGGCTGAGCAGATGGTGGGTGCAGACTTAGCTGAAGAGTTCAAATCTGCAAGAAGGAGGTGCTTTCATGACGTCCAAGGTTAGATGATCCGTTGAGCTGGGCCTGTGCCCTGAGGTCTTTCCAGGATAAGGAAGCTCCCCCTTCTTAACCTTAAGGGTGCACTAGGTTTAGGGAAGTGTCGGCTGTGGGGGCCTCTAGGGCGGCCTGGGTGATAGAGATAGCAAGGGGAAGCAGAAAGGATGACCCTAACGGAGGGGGGTAGTTAAGGTGTATGTGGGGGAGTCAGAAGCACAGCCTGACTTGAGGACTCAGGGTGAGCACCCCTGCAAAATTCAGTAGAAGTCTTCTTCCACATGAGCCCATGAAGGAGGAGACTCGGGAGCCACGTGGCGGCTCTCCTGAGGATGTCATAGGGGGAGACCTCATCCTCAGTGCAGGTGGCCGGCCCCCGCCCGAGACTCAGGTGCCCGGGTGCTGGCCATCCTATTTTATGTCCCAGGTGTAGGATTTGACTTTTGCAGAATTGCGCCTCCCTTGTAAATACCCTTTTTTTTTTTTTAAGTGGTACATATGACTTTGGGGCTTAGACTTTTTTTTTTTTTCCTTTTTTAAGATTTTACTTACTTCTTTGACAGAGACACAGCAAGAGAGGGAAGCCAGGCAGGAGGAGTGGGAGTGGGAGAGGGGGAAGCAAGCTTCCCACGGAGCAGGGAGCCTGATGTGGGGCTCAGTTGCAGGACCCTGCGATCATGCCCTGAGCCAAAGGCAGATGCCCAACAACTGAGCCACCCAGGCGCCCCCTTAAACTCACCTTTGTCTTACAGCAGCCAGTGAGGAGGAGAAGGGGAGAGAGCTCATTCGACATTAACAACATTGTCATCCCAATGTCTGTTGCTGCAACAACTCGTGTAGAGAAACTACAGTACAAGGAAATCCTTACTCCCAGGTAGAGGCCCTTGTTCATTGGCTTCTTGCCCTTTTCTTCCATTACTGCCTCTTTCCCTTCTTGTCCCTGAGCTTTGGGTCCTAGCCTTAGGTTTTGTCATCTCTTTAAGAGAAATTCTTCCCTGATAACAGTGAAATTGTTTCTGTATATCATTCTCGTTCTCTTAATAAAGAGTACCAACCAGACCTCAGGCCACATGCTGGCTGTAGCCGTGTTTGTCTGACAGCACAGTGTGTTTCCCAGTAGTGAGTTTGTTGTCCGCAACAAAGCAAGATTTCACCTAGGAATCAAACCCACTTTTGTTGACAATTTCAGAAATTGGGCGGCCCCGTGTATGTGCTCTCACGGGCTAGCAGTCTGCTGGGGCTGGCAGTGGTCCCTTGTGGACAGTTCCTTTGCCTGCTGTTTGTCACAGCTCCCAGCCGGCTTCCCATACCTGTCCTCTGTGAGGCCCCTCTCTGAGGCCTTGGGAATACCAAGGCAGAGGGCGGTATCGTCCACAGGCGCCCAGCTTGCTCTCGCACAGACACACTCAACCTGCCCGGCTGCCCTGCTCTCTCACACTTGTCCTGTCTTGATTTTGCAGCTGGCGCGAGGTCGATCTTCGGTCTCTGAAGGGGAGTCCTGACGAGGAAAATGAGGAGGTAACAGCATGGTTGTTCTCTCTTGGAAGGATGCACACACATGCCTATACACACGCGCGTGCACACGGTTGGGCACACACACCCTAGGGGCTTGAAGACCCGTGAGTGTCAAGTACAAGCTCACTGTATTCCTGTCCTGACAGAGACAGCCCCCGCAGTAAGGGCTGGGGCTGGTTCTAGAATTGCTCTAGCTTTACTTAGGCTTGGCTTCCTGGAGGAGAGAGGGAACCAGTGAAGCTGTTCTCTTGCAGGTCGAAGATCTATCTGACGCAGCCTTCGCCGCCCTTCATGCCAAATGTGAGGAGATGGAGAGGGCTCGGTGGCTGTGGACCACGAGCGTGCCACCCCAGCGGCGGGGCAGCAGGTGACGGGGCAGGCACAGGTCCCCCGGCCTGTGAAGGGAGGGTGGGCACGGAGTTGGGTGCTAGGTCCGTGGGGTTGCCACCGCCCCTGGCTTGCTCTGTGTATCTGTCCACTGGCCAGGGCTGAGAACGCAGAAGTTCCCGGCTGTTCGTCGGGCCTAATGAGGGGATGAGGGTCACGTGGCTGGGGCCTTGCTGGGCGGTAGGGTCGCTGTCCGGTTGTGGCAAACTTGGTGATCTCCCGGCTCTGCCCGGCGGCTGGCTGGGCCATTCGGGGGCCAGTTGAAGGTTGTGTTGATTTAACCAGAGGCACTTCGGAGGCCTCACCACAGTTTAACCCTCCTTGGGACAGTTGAATTGGGGGGTTGTGGTCCTGCTCAAAAGAACTGGCCTGCCCTGCCTCCGTTTTGCTAACAGGCACAGAAACCCTCAGGACTCTCAGATAGAAAGATTTAGGGCCCTTGTTTTCGCTCTTTTTCCCTTGACAACAGTTTTCAAAGTCTAGATGATTTTCCCTTCCCTGTGAATTCGGTGGGCACTGTGCCAGAGATGAGCCCCTGGCATCATTCCGCCCTGGCTTTTCTCTTGGGACGATAGGTGCGCCCGTTTCTTAAGATTTGTGTATCGGGGGCATCCTCCCGTACACAGCGGTGGGAGGAAATGAGGGATTTATGGTTCCTGGGAATGAACTGTGTGTGTCCGTCTACCTCAGCTCCTCTAGTTGGGATATTCTTTTCTTGCCTCCTCCCCAAACCCCCGAAAATCAACCTACAAGTAATCCCCTGTTGCCCAGGCACTCAGATTTGCACTCCTTGGTGTCCAGGTCTTACAGGTCATCAGATGGCCGGACAACTCCCCAGCTGGGCAGTGCCAACCCCTCCACCCCCCAGCCCGCCTCCCCTGACGTCAGCAGTAGCCACTCTCTGTCGGAGTTTTCCCACGGTCAGTCCCCGAGGAGCCCTATCAGCCCAGAACTGCACTCGGCGCCCCTCACCCCTGTGGCTCGGGATGCGCTGCGACACCTAGCCAGCGAGGACACCCGTTGTTCCACGCCAGAGCTGGGGCTGGATGAGCAGGTGAGGAACACTGCCTTTGCGTGGGGGTCGGCCGGGTAGGGGACAGAATGGGGAAGGGACAGCACCCCCTGAAGATGGGTCTGCCTCTCATGCCCCTCCCCTTCTGCATCTTAAAGGGGCTGCACTTAAAATTGACCTTCTGAAGGGACCATGGGACGGTTGCCCACTCCGAGGGGTCTTCCTGGACCACTCCAGGAACTCTCGAAGGACTAGTCTTGGACTTCAGTCCACACGTTTTGGGAGAGGGCCTTGGGGCAGGATGTAGGCTGGGCCTCGCTCCTCACCGTGGCAGTCTGTCTGTCTCCCCACAGTCCGTCCAGCCGTGGGAACGGCGGACCTTCCCGTTGGCCTACAGCCCCCAGGCGGAATGCGAGGACCAGCTGGACGCGCAGGAACGGGCAGCCCGCTGCACTCGGCGCACCTCGGGCAGCAAGACTGGCCGAGAGGCAGAGGTGGCCCCCACCTCACCTCCTGCTGTCCCCATCAAGAGTCGGCATTTGGCAACAACGGTCACAGCTCAGCGTCCAACTCACAGATGAGCGGGAGATGAGAATCTAAACAGACTCACTAACTATTGGCATTAAAGCTTCAGAAATCTCTGCGTTTGATATTCAAACATCATATGCCGGAAATTTTCACAGTTTTTAGTGAATTTAAGGAATTTAGATTCTACTTTGGTATTTTTTGTTTTGATTTTTGTTTTGTTTTGGTTTTGGTTTCCATGTTTTGTTGTCACACACCTGAGCACTTCCTCCAATTGGCAAACAGAAGTTCAGGATAAGACCCCACTGGCCTGGTCCTGGCACGTCCTCTGCACTGTTGAATCACTGGACTTAGCGATGCTAGATGATCACCCTCTCCTCGCGCCTGTGGGCAGGGTGCACCTGCCAGGTGGGCAGAGGGGGTTGGGGAGGGGAGAACAGCTTGCTCTGGGCCCCGCCCTCTTCCCTCCCCTGCCATCGGTGGTGGCCTGGCCCTGCGCTGGCCCTCCTGGCTGGGTCCCCCTTGGCCATCTGTGCTAGAGCACCGCCACCAGAGCCTCTTGGCCATAATTGCCACCTGTTCTCACCAAGCTCTCAGTCGACAGAATGGCTTCCCCTTGTCATCCAGATCTTGGAGACCTAGTTAGGGTTTCCTCTGCATTTGGTCATCTCTGTTCTGACTCCTTAACTGCAGTGACCTAGCTGCGGCTGCTCAGGTCCCCGTCCTGCCCCTTCGTGCCCTGTCGTCGACACCATCCACACACCCGTACGCACCAGTCTTTCCACTCGGGATGTTTTTACCACCTGTCCTTGTCTGTGAAGGTAGGGTTAGGGCTGCTTAACTTCATTCCCACTCCTCTGCAAACTGGGGGGTCAGGGACACGAGCAGCCATCTCCCCTGTATGATTCTGTTGTCACACATGCATTTAGTTCCATTTCCTTCACATCCGGTTCCCTGTCGGTGTCAGTTAGACCTTTTCCTCTTCCACACTCTCCCCTTGCCTGTGGAACGTTGTCTGGTCCTCGCTGTGGTTCCCATCACTCCCTCACCACCCCCCTTGGTTAACCTCGTGCCTGTCTCATGTATGACCACATCACCAAAAGGGGGGGGGGGCAATAAGGACTTCTTTATTTTTATTTTTATTTTTTTTTGTTGTTGCCATTTTGTAATCGTATAAAAATAGTAGACAAACTGCTTAATGGTTGGGGTTTTTTCACAATTTTCAACATTAGTGATTTTTTTTTTTTTTTGGATTCTGTTTGCAAGTTAAAGGGTTTGTCATTGTTTCTTTAAAAAAACAATAATGCACCATATCCCTATGCATAAAGTGCTTCTTCTATTTATAAGGTTGAAAATTCTGAATAACCCTTTTAGCATTGTTAAAAAAAAAAAACAAAAACAAAAATGGAAAAAAAAACCTTGTATTTTGTAAATATTTTCTTTTCCTGCTTTGAGCTGTGTATTGGCAGCGAAACATGTAGCTGTCTTTGTTCTATAGAAATGCTTTTCTTCAGAGAAGCTGATCTTTGTTAATGTCTTGATTCTGTTCGCAAAGCACAGACTAGTGCTTAAAAAAAAAAAAGAAGGAAAAATTGAGAAAAAAATAATAAAAAAAAAAGTTACAGAATGTTGTGTTGCCAGGCCTTTCTTGACATTGGACCGGCTCTGCATGGTCATGGTGGCAGCCTGGGCTCCTGCTCTGCTGAGCAGTTCTTTGGGAGTCTCCATTCTGTCTCTGGGCACCTCGTAGGGTCACCTGATGGTCACTAGGAAAAGGATGTTGGTGGGGGGGGTGAGGGGGCCCAGAGGACAGGGACAGGGGATCTCCATAGATAGTCTTTTTGTTGGATGTAAGTGATTGATCGTTTGATCATTGCCTTTCTCTAGTGAGACCAGCCATATGACATTTCATACCTATTCTAAATTGTTAAACTCTTAAGGGAGATACCACCTCTCGCTTTGGTTTTTTTGTTGGTTTCCCCCACCCCAGGGTTGGGGTCAGTGAGAATGTATATATACTTTGTAACATTTTTCTGAGGCGTCTCAGTGCTGGATTCTCTGTGTAAGACAGATAAGTAGGCAGGCCTGATCCCTGTTTACTCTCTTTGCTTCCTTCTGATGGCAGTCCAGTCGATGCCACCGGGCAAGCCCCCTGTCCTGGCAGAGAAGCCCCTGAGTCTGGAGGTGGCATTTCTCTCTAGCTGCCCTGTCGCTTCTGTGGGAGCTTCTGCCCACAGGGGCTCAAACAAGGATGTGGCGGGGCGGGGGGAGTCTTTTGCAACTTTGTATGAAGATCTAAGGGTTCCTTGTTAGCACCTTCACCTGATTACTAAATAATTCAGTGGGTTATGGTTTTCTGTTTTTGTTTCCTTTGTTGGCTACGTGGTGTTCCTGTCCTGACGTAGGAGACATCTTCCCCCATCTAAGTAAGGATCCAAAGGAAAGAGGAAGGCAGATTCAGTTGGACGACTGGCAGGCCTAGGGACCAAAACCGATCTCCCCCACTACCCCCGCCTCGTCTGGTGGCAGTATGCTGGCATGGGTCTGGTCGACTCCAAGCGCAGCCTCTTGAGCTCGGCCCCAGGGGCGGTGCTGCCCTTGTGAGTTGGACCGGGGTGGTTTGCAAGCAGCAGTCAGAGTCAGCACAGAATGAACAAGTCTGAGAACTCTTCTTGCAGCTCCTGGGCCCGGGCTAGAGAGCTGTTAAATTCTGATGTCCAGGTTTTAGCAACCTTGACATTCCCTGTTCAGAGCCATGTTCTCGGGTTGGGAAAAGACTTGCAAATCCTACATCCTCAATTATTTTCTTATTTGAATCCACACACGGAGACCTTATTTAATCAGTAATAACTTTATTTCCAAATTCACTTTTACAGCAACAGTGTAAATCATTTGTTAAAACACACAGTACACCATAGGGACATTCACAGACAGGAAGCTAAGCTAAGATGGTTTCATGTCCCTCCCCCCACCCTCAAAATTACCGAAGAAATTGTGGGACTTGCAAGTGCCAGAAATTGTCCTGCCCAACACTGCAAATTCACAGGGCAAAGTCCATTAGGAGGGGTGACTCTGGGCCAGTGCCCAGGGTAACCCTTTTCGAAGCTGAAGAGAAACCAGAAGTCTCAAAGCCACAAGCCGGTAGATGGGATAAGCTGACCACCTCCACCTCCGCCCTCGTCCCCACCTTGTTGGGTCTACTTGGGGACAAGATAGAAGAGGGTGAAGGAGGAACACTTGCAGCTGCCCGGAGGACAGGCTGCGCGGCCAGAGCTGGCGGGAAAGGTGGCACGGAGGTGCCAGTGGCTTAGATGGAAGGATGCCAGGGTCTGGGAGGCAGGGCTGGGGGCCTAGGGGGCCTAGGGGCCCCGTGAGAGGGCAGTTGTATATCCAGGCTCCTCCATGAGCCTTGCTGCCTGCACTGGGCTGGGCGGGAGACGGCGCGAGCCGGCCGCCTGCTGCACTCGGGGAAACCTGGCAGGGGAGAGGTGAAACCCCAGGGACCTCTAGCAAACCGTGGGTGATCTGAAGAAAAGGGTTACAAGGCGGTTGAACTGCTACCCTCCAAGACTTCCCTCTGCCCTTGGTAACTATCTTACAGGTTCCTCCCCCCTCCCCCCAGAAGCACGACAAGCAAACAGGATACAGTCTCCGCATTGAAGTCAATTTAAGTGGAACTACTGATAAGTGAGTGGAGGGCTCGAAGGGACCAGGCATACAGCACAGCCTGTCTGGCCCACCCAAGGGACACTGACCGTGGAGGTGGGGGCAATGAGGGTGGCAGAGTGCCCAGCCCTGGGGCAGGGGTGGGCTGGGGTGGGGTGGATTGTCCTCATTCAAGATCACAAGCCAGCATCCCTTCGCAGTCTCCCGGCCAGCACTGACCCGATCACCCTAAACCGTGCTGTCTAGGCCGTCCCCAGTAGTCCATCCCACCAGGGAGACTGCAAGGCCCTAGGAATAAGGTATCAGAGCAGGCTCAGCAACTGCAGAACGGGCGGCCAGAGGCCGTGGCCACAAGGAGGAGCCGTGTGTCTAAGAGCTACCAACTCTGAACCACATTTCCCTTCTCTTCCTCAGGACCCTTCTAAGGACAGCTGGGACTCAAAGCGATGGAGAGCTTCACAGTGGTCAGTTCCGGGCCCAGATGATTCCTTGCACGGAAACCTGGTTGCAAACGAAGCCCGGGGCCCTGGAGAGGCGGCCCTTCACTCCCCTGGCCCCCAGGGCTGCCGAGACTGGGCCCAAGGTTGCTGAATTTCTCTAAAGCGATTTTCTACAAAGGCAGTTCCCTTTCCCTGTGCCGGGCGAGCGGGGCTCCGACCGAGGCTTTGGGTCAGGTCCCCCCTCTGCAGTCGGGCGACTCGGGCTCCCAGGGCTGTTCCAGGGTGGGCGCAATCCCTGCCGTGGCTGTGGGGATGCAGTGGGGAGACCCAGGCTGCCTGCCCCAGGACTCCGGGCTGAGGAGGGGCTGCGGGCCTCTCTCCGGCTGGTACTGGATCCCAAGATCCCCTCAGGGTTGCTGGGGGCTTCCATCTTCCTGCTGCAAACCAGGCCAGCCTGGAGATCCGCCACTCTCCGCCCTGACAGAGGGAAACCCCGGCAGGGGCCGCGAGGGGGCGCCGTAGCTGTGCTCCAGGCCTTCCTCGAAGCTGAGGGTCCTCCGATGTCACAATCTGGTCTTGTGTGGGTCCCAGAGGCTGTGAAAGCCTTTCCAATCGGGAGGCCCCAGCAGGGTAGAAACACACTGGTCCCCTGGAGCCGGGCCCCAGTGTATGTGTAGGAGGGGAGACATCTAGGACCCCCACGGGGTGGGGTAGAAACCTCTTCACAAGCATTTCAAGATACATGCGTCCTTTTTTTTTTTTTCCTTTTCATGATCATAGTCACTCTGTGAATCCAAGCATAAACAGATTCGACTACAAGGCGACAGGATGCAGACGGGGAGGGAAAGGCGACGTCTATGTATATGTTCAGCTGCTCCGGCAGGACAGACGGTCGGCACTGCTTCCAGCTGGGCTGGCGGGGACAGACCGTTTCCGAGGGGGCATGCTCCCCTTCCGGGGGTCCGCACAGGGGTCGGGTGGTGGCGGGGCTCTCTCAGAGGCTGGCAGTCGCGAGCTTGTGTGGAAGTGGGGGTGTGTGTGTGTGTGGTGTGGTCCTGCCCAGGCGGCCTCATCTGCCTGTCCTGGTGCCACCTCTGGAACCAGGACAGCCAACTTGCTGCCAGCTCAGCTCAGGAGGGGGGCCAGACCCTCATGGAGGAAAAGGCTCTCCAAGTAAACAAGGCAAAAACATCCTGGGTCCTCCCTGAGCCCACCTGGGCTCACGTCTGTGAGGAGAGGTGGGGATAAGGAACTGAGGAAGGTCATCGGGTTCGTGGGGACACACCAGTTGGTGAGCAGAGCTTAAACCAAGAGACCGAGGTCTCACCGTGTGCCCGGGCTTTGCCTTCACTCACACACCCCTCAGATGAGAGCAGGTGCCTCCCGCATCTAAACAACGTCCATTGCTGAGAAGGGGCGTGGTGAGGCTGGGGACTCGGGACATTGTGACACGATGAGGGGGACAGGCAGTGACTGGGCTCCGTACAGCAGACACACGGGCATGGCGGGCAGTGGGGGGTGGGGGAAACAGGTGGCTGCAGTGGCCGTGGGAGGGACAGGAGGCTCAGGACCCACCCGCCGGAGCCCGGCACACCCAGAGATGCCAGAGGCCCAGGCTGGGGAGCAGGCGGATGCCCCCAG